AAATTTGTTTAAAATTTTGTTTTATTTTCCATATCTCTCCATGTTAATTCTTCTTCCTGATTTGCGTGACTTCAGATATGTATTTCAAAACGATGACGACGAGGTCTTTCACTCCACCATCAATGAGAGCAGTTTTTCTAGCAGTGTGTGATGGTTTTAACCAATTGGGCCTTCATGTACATAAAATTCTTGACGCGACCTCTTAAGCGAGATGATCTAAAATAATTCTGCAGGAAGCTTAAAATCTTTAGACCTTTGTACTGTAACAATCATTGCAGTAGGAGAACGGTTGACTCCTACTATCTTTGAAAGCAACTTTGCATGTGTCTCCTCAACAAGAGGATAAACGAATAAGTTGGTATATTCAGATACAAATGAAAACGTCTTAGGAATCTCTGCTACCTGTTCGCATTAATCAAGATTTTAAACGCAGGCAAACAAGAAATCGATAAAAAAATAAATGGAGTTGTATTAAATGTGACATGCACATCAATAAGAGACCAAGAAAACACTACATCAACCAGATTTGGAAACTTGTTTTCAGGTTTTTTCTTATCTATATATGTTGTCATTGACCAATATTGTTCGTCCAGTGATCATTTTCGGACTTTTTTTTGCTTTACACAAGCAGTTAAAAACAAGTAACCAAGAGAGTGTCGATGGCGATTAGGGTTGCATGTTTGCCTGTAGGGTAATTAATGACTATATATCAGAATTAATATGTAGAATTACATGCAAGCTTTTAGTACAGAAACCAAGAAAAAATTAATAGATACAAGAGAAGAAAGCAAGTTGACCCTTCAAGTCCTTGGTGTTAAGATTTAAGGAGCAGACATGCAGCTAAAGATTGAAAGAAACGAAACCTTAGAAATGAACCAGTAAGGGACATGGGGTTTACGAGCAGCTTCTGGGATGTGGTCGTGGGTTTAGGAGGTATTCAGGGGTGGGAAAGATTCAAGGGGGGTGGTCGTTAAGGTTTAACCGAGCTTACCAAGTTGTACATGATGCTTGATACTTTGTACCCTCTAAATTTCATCTACTATCCTTGCTTATGATATAGTATAGATATATGAATATACATTTTTAATATGATAAAGATGTAAAATGAAAATGTATGAATATAAAACAAATTAATTCGTAGATATTCATGATATTTAATAGTATTATTAAATTAAAAAAATTCAATATTAGTCTCAATTTGAAAGTATTAACGAGACGATTATAATGATATAATTTATAAAAAGAAACACATTTTTAAATGCATTTTAATTCATATACGATTATTTATGTTGATATGATAAGTGTGTAAAAAATGAAAAAGTAAGGGATATATAGTAAAAATCATCAATTATATGGGTATATAAAATGTAAATAATAAAATTGAAAATCATTTGGTGGAAGATAGTGGGAGGTTGTAAGCTTTAAAAACTTGTACAATATTTTTAATTGGTTGTACCTCTTAAAAATTTAATATAACCATACATCGTGCTTTTAATATAATATAGATATAAACCCTAAATATATTTAAGTTTTTAAATGGAAATTAGCACAAAAGTAAATTGACTATAAAACTTCTAATTTAACGAAAAAAGTTAACGGTCGTTAATAAAAGGGGACGAAAATCATTACAAGGTGTCAAACGTGAGAAATAAAAGAATTATAATATTAATACCCCATTAAAATATGGACCCTATTGTTATAATTAGTTCCCCAATTAATGCTCCAATAACGGAAAAGTTGCCAATTTCCCACTAAATTTTGGAGGTCCACTTTCTCAAGTTATGCAATTCCGTATTTATACGTGCACACATATACATACGTATGTATATCTATATGTCTCTGTCACGAACTATTATTAACGCTCATCTGTTAAATGAGTGGCAGTTTGACCATTTTTTTTTTTTTTGCGGTTCGTTTAATTAAATCATACGACCATAGGGACCTAAGCCTAACTTAATTTGTATGTATATTACGTCATATACAACACAAAACCCACCCTTACTTGTGTGACCGCAATTTCCAGCGGCCTCCCCCTACCTCCTTTTAACCATCTTTGTTTCCAGGTAAAATCCAATTTTCGATCGTCACCTCCCACTAGATCCACCATCTTCGACAAAGGGCTTCATCTACTACGACCACTATCTTCGAGGCAAATCCTCCATATACTGGACTCCGATGCACCAACTTCCTTTAAACTCCAACATCTCTTAAGCAAGTCCTCTTTCTGTCTTCCACCACCACCACCACCATCTCCAATGTAGATACTTCATATATCAGATTATGACCAGTGATTTTAAAGGTCTTAGATTAGAATTTTGATTTAGTTTAGGTTTTTTTATTTAGGGTTTTTAACAATTTGGTGACAAAGAAATCAAATTTGTTTGTAGTGTTGAGTGGTGAGTTTCCACGATGGTGGGTCGTAATTATGATGGTAATGGGTGGTGATAGAATAATGGTTAGTTTCGGTGGTGACTCCAATGTGTTTTGCCTTTTTAATTTTGAGTTTTAGTTATTTCGGGGTTGGATTTGATTTTGACTTGGGATTGTGTTTGATATTGTTGGTTTGGATTTTTTTCTTCAGATTTTGAGTTTGTGTGTGCTGTGATATCCAGTGACCAAAGATAGATTTAACTGAATGAGAAAATAACTAGATTTTTCATTTATTTAAATGAGCAGCTGACAAATAAAAAAGGACCAAAATGTCCCTCACTTAATATCATGAAAGTTAACAATGAACATAAAATGTAACAAATTCTACTCTTTTTTTTCTTTCTTATACAAAAGTAACTAACATTCTATTGTCCTAATATGAATATGAAGTTGGTATCAGTGGTGGATGCAGAAAAAATTATTGTAGAGGGGCATGATTAGGTTTTTACCCAATTTGGAGTAGTTGCAGACTCGCAGTGTAGACGCCAAGACGCGGGATGGATGCCGGAACTAGAAGCAGGAAGTGAATCAGGAAGCGGTGAAAGCAGGAAGCGCTGCGATGAATGAAGGTGCAGGCGTGCAACAATGTTCTTTCTTGAGCCTTCGACAGTCACGGTCATGGTGGAATGATTGAGCCATGAAGGTGAAATGAATTATGGGTTGGGTTGGGGAGTGGGGCCTTCATGTTTATTTTATTGGAGGCCTGATCACATAGTCATAAAATCTATAAGTAAAATTTAAAAAAATTGAGCTTTCTAGACTTGATTTTGTTGGGGGCCAAGGACCCCAACCCCATACATGTGCATCCGCCGATGGTTGGTATCTTTAAAGATAAAAAGGGAAATTTGAGTTTGTATGATATATGTATTGTTATATATTAAGAATACGTTTAATCGTTAAAAAAATGCATTCCTCTTAATTTTTCATCGTTGTTCACTTGAAATCGAAACTAACAAGGTTAAAGCGGAACTCAAAACCACCAAAAAGGATAGAGTAAGCACGGAGGTCCCCATGTTATTTTGTGGAGATCTGTGACTGTTTTAATGTGTTTTCTGAGATTTTGTCATGCTCAATAGCAGTTCGATCTATATAGTATCCTTAAGTTGAAGAAACTGTTCGATAGGGCTCGATAGCAACTCGATGATCTTACTTTAAACCCACGATAGTGATGAGGCTGAGAGCCTTCAAATTTTTTCGCATCTCAAGTGTGGAAATTGTTGAAAAAGTATAAAAGTTTGATAGATAAACGATAAAGTTTTACAACTTTGATAACAAAAACAAAGGCGAGGTGGATGCAAAATTGATGATAGTTTCGTACTTATTGAAGCAGAAAAACGATGGCAGAAGTTTGAAAGAGAGCAAATTGTTTTCGTTTTGTGATTTGGAGTGGTTTAGTCCAGTATATATATTGGTTAACCACCCCATAATCACGCCAAAATCCCCAAAAAAAGGGATCAGATAAAGACCAGGTCTCGAACTGATTTTCACGTGTTTATTTTAAATTGAATTATCCGATTTTATAAATATAAAACAGATAAATAGCGTGCGAAGTGCAAAATGCGCCTCCTCACGTCACCTTTGCAAATCCCACGCCCTTGGTCATGTGCGCGTGTGTTGGGTATTTCACTCATGACCCTTACCATGAGTCCATCAATAAGCTCAAGGCCTAATTTAGAGAAAAGCCTTATAAAGCTCTCTAATGTTTTTTATCTATCAATGCAGGATGGAGGATAAACTTCCAACCTCACTTTCATTTCCAACATAAATTACCGACTATTTATAGATATATCTTTTTACAACAAAACTAGTAATAAAAAATGGTTATATGAAAACATATTCTTAAAATATGAACATATATTGAACATAGAAACTCAAATTTCTTAAGGTAAATGAGTCAAGTAACACAGGATATATAAATACTATAGCTGCAAAACATTATATTAATGTGCTGATTTATGTTCAAACTTCGTACATGTTTAACCTTCTTATCCCTTTAAATAACATAGCATAGCACAACTCAGTTCATTATTGTTCCATCCCAAATCAGTATGTTAGTATGAAAAGCAATAACTGAACTTATAATCGTTGTATAAAAAAATCATTCGTGTTTAGTATGAAAATCAATAATACCAATTTTCCATACAATACTAACAAAAGATTAGAATTTTTTTTAGTTGGATTATTTAAATAAATTATTTATATTTATTTTGAATCAATATTGTATTTGTTTAACAGAACATCATAGGTTCAAATCCAAGGAGGAATAAAAATCCTTTTATGGCTACGAAGGTTCAAATGCGATGCCGGGCTATCTGCAAAGCAGGTGGTTGTTCTGAGATTAGTCGGTTCACATAACGGGTTAGATATCCAGGTTGATCAATATATATATATATATATATATATATATATATATTACTTGTTTTTGTATTTTAAATGGATGAAAGAGAAATAAATACTCTCGTGGGACTTTTATCCGAAATGGATTGATTCTTAGCGAAGAGTCAAACAAATATCGTGACTCGTCATCCAGCCGTCCAAATTTTCTCCACCCCACATTTACATCCATCGGCAATCACGCTTGCCACGTAACCTTTTCTTATCGATAAACAAACGGCTATCATTTTGCCACGTGTCACTATTGATGTATTATTACACCCTCGATCCAACGGACCGCGGTACTCGTTTCCTCAGCTCTCAATCCTTCCCCCCCAACATTCCCGGAGCTCCGGCAATCTCTTCTCCAGCCGGAGATCTACTTCCTCGATTTTGGCGCCAAATAATTCGAATATTGTAACGGCTATGGCGGATTCCGATAACGAATCAGGTGGCCACAACGCTGGCGGCGATTTATCGGCGAGGGAGCAAGACAGGTTTCTGCCGATTGCTAACGTGAGCCGAATCATGAAGAAGGCGTTACCGGCGAACGCGAAGATCTCGAAGGATGCGAAGGAGACGGTGCAGGAGTGTGTGTCGGAGTTCATCAGTTTCATAACCGGTGAGGCGTCGGATAAGTGCCAGAGAGAGAAGAGGAAGACGATAAACGGCGACGATCTGCTGTGGGCGATGACGACGTTAGGGTTTGAAGAATACGTTGAGCCTCTGAAGGTGTATTTAGCAAAGTATAGGGAAATGGAAGGAGAGAAGACCACCATGGGAAGGCCAGGGGAGAAGGAGGGAGGTGGAGATGCAACGGCAGGCGGCGGCGGTGGCTATAACGGGATGTACGGAGGGTATCAACAAATGTACAATTCGGGTCAGTATCATCAAACGGGTATGGGTGTGGGTAGTCCGACGGGCAGCTTGGGAAGATCGGGCAGCTTTGGTAGGGGCGGTGGCGCTCCATCTTTGAAGCCAGGTAGGTGAGGTGGCCAAGTGGGTTGGTTATGAGGAGTCAAATTAAAGAGAAAAGAGAAAAAAAAAGTCTACTTTTTTATTTTTAAATATTTGCTAATTTAAAATTTTATTTTCTTTTTTTTTATATTCATCATTGACATGTGAATTTTTAAATTTATATTAGGTTTTGTATTTTTTTTTTCAATATTAGATCTTAGTTTGTGTTTCTTTTAATATTTTTATAAATTGAAATATTATTATTATAATAATAATAAATTAACAAATTTTTTATTTTACAGAATTTCGAATTTGTGTCCATCAATAATTATGAAATTACTTGTGTATGAATGGAATGAGGTGAAAAGTAAAGCATCTTCAAAAGTTGTATTAAAATAAAAAATTTAATTTAGATATATTAAATAGAGAAAAAAAACTATAGAAAAATGAGAAATGGTATTTTAATTTTTTTAATTAATAAAAGATATTGAAATTAAATATATTGAAGAGAAAAATCAATTTTTTAATTAAATATATTGAAGTTTTATCTTTATTTAATGTTAGAATTGTTAAAATAGGATACTTTATTATAAAAAATTATAGCATAGCTCCTAAAGATGTCAAGATATCATGTCAATTTGGAATTTAGTTAAAAAATCCAAAAATGTATATTTGATTTTGGAGTCCAATTAAACATAAATTCTTAATTACTAGAAGGGTACTTGCGTAATGCAGCGAGATAGATCTTGATTTTAATATTTTATTTTATTCTTCATCTTAGTCGATATAGTATGGTCTTATGTGATTTTGAAAAAACGATGATGTTTTTATTTTAGAATAAAATATAAATTTGAAGATATCATAAAATTTTGACAAAAATATATCGATATTAGTATCAAATTAACTGTTTAAAATTCTTGTTTTTTGTATAATTTTTTAATTATAATTTAATTTATGTTCAATAACGAAGTAATTTATATTTGGTTAATAATATAATTTTTTTATAAAAATAATAATTAATTATTTTGTTAGAACTCGATAATTATCGTAATTATATTTTAGATTTTTTATATTTTAAAATGAGATGTCTATCCTCTATTTGATTATGTTTATCCACAGTTAGTTACACGAATTCAAACATGAAGCTTTAATAAGTTGTACTTATGCATAATTTACTTGTAATATTGAATTTTAAGTAATATACATCAATATACAATACTTCATGCATACAAAATGATTTTTAAGAGTTTTCATCAAATGTTCTATAATATAGCATAATAACTTGTTTAATCAAGTTTTTTTATTATAATTTAAAGATCTAAAATTCACAAAAACATGTGTATATATATATATATATATATATTTGTTGATACGGTATATTATAAATGTATATTAAGGATAGAGGATTCTAGCTTCGTGAATAAGATAGCATCTTGTATGATTTAAGATTCTAAATACACGATGATTGTACTTTTTGTCAGCAAAAGAATTGGAACAAAATCTTCGACCTAATAAAAGTGCACAAAAAGACATCAAAACTTTATCACATATCATATACGGAGATACCCAAAATCGTTCTTTTTAGAACTTTATTCTACTTTCATTTGTACCATAAAAATTATAGCTTATTTATGACTTACTGTACAAAATAAGAATAAGTATATATATAGACACATAATCATATCAGAGCACCCAGTTTTGGTTTCAGATGATTTTTAACGTCTTTGGAACTTGGATTTGAGTTAAACTTGTAGTTTTGGAGCCGTTGGAATGAAAAAGCACGGAATACACAATCAACCTTCTCATATGACAACACACATCAAACCATCACATGAAGCATCCTGATATCGTTCCACCATTCCTAATTTCAAGTGTTAATTATTGTTCTTAATCCACCATTCATATCAAAGTGTGGAAAAAAATGATAAAAATATAACAACAAGAGTGGTGCCTGATTGGTTTGAGCTTGGCTCCAAATGTCAAAAGTACTAGGAGGTCTGAGGTTCAAATCCAAGGAGGAATAAAAATCCCCTTGTAGCCACAGAAGTTCAAATGCGATAACTCCGGGCTATCTGCAAAGCAGGTGGTCGTCCTATGATTAGTCGGTTCGCATAGCGGGTTGGATGTCCAGGTTAATCAAAAAAATGATAAAAAAAAATATGGGCTATTAATAATCTTAGGTCTAGTTTCAGTCCAATTAATCATATAAAACATATTATTACAAAAAATTGAGGTTGAATTAAATAAATTTAAAATATGATGTATTTTAATTTTATCATGAGAATAAAAGATTTTAGGACAACATATTTTTACTCCCAAAAAGTTGTCACGTTACTCCTTTTCAATTCCGTTCATGTTCCTTTGATAAGACTTCGACATGGCTTCTCTTTTCTCTCTCATAATCATTTAATTTATATATACACCCTTATATTCAGGGTTCGCACAACAAGCTTTTACTGGGTAAGTGTTTACTAACAAGAGTCATCACCTCCACTTACCTTGAGGGTAAAACCTTTAGTCATCAAAATGAATTGTTGGTAAACGTCAATCAGGTAATAGTCATTTCCTTACTTATCGGGTAAGATTCTTGGTTTTTATTATATCGATAAGATTTTTTATCTAGTAAACATCTCCTTAGATAACCATTTTCTTGCATTTACACATTGACACTATACCTTTATAGAAATTTAATTGGATAATAGATGATTCTTTTTCAAGTGGGACGGTGGAAAAATGGCCGCCCCATTCGATGGAGACATCAGATGGAATACTAACACAGGAGCAAAAGAAGTGTGGAGTCACCATCTCTAGACTGTCTGTCATTATGGAATAAAAACACTCAACAACTTAACTTGTCGTTGTTATAAAGCATGGGTACTCTCGATTCTTAGTGTGGTTGTCTTCTTCGTTATTTACATTCTAAAAAGCTAAAACGTAGTAAAACTCTAAAACTAGACGTCAAATATGAAAATGTCAAACATCGCTAATAAAGGCCTCCAATATTTCAAGAAAATTTCCTCTATTAATGGAATCTAACTTTTCATTGTCACCTCTAAATACAACCGCTTGAAAGGCTCGTTGGCTCAAATAATAGCATTTTAAGCCTAGTTAAAACATCAAACAATTTCAAACAATAACATCTTAAAACTTGAATAGAAATATAGAATGAAAACACCCTTATGATTTAGGGGATCTAACCGGAGGTCGAGACTCAACTCACTCGAGAATGGTCAACACGGGGAGGGAGGATAGATCAACAGGTCTGTAATTTCAATGATGAAGATTGGAGATTGTAATTTTGTTGTAGATGTCCGACTTTTTTTACTTTCATAACATTTTTGCTGTAAAGTTTCAAGTGTAAAAAATGGTCTAACGAGTTTCATAAAAACAAGTTGATATCACGTGAACCCAAGATTTGAATTCATAATCATTTAGGTTGGAATCGGATATGTTAAAAAATGAGACAACAACTTAAAATCTTGTGCACTTAATGGACCCCATGGATATGTCAATTTCGATCAGATTCTCTTCCTCATTCATCTCCGACCACCGGTAAATCGATGCCGGTGATATGTCCGGCAAGAATTGTTGAAAACACAGCTCTTTTTCTTCTTCTCGTTTCTGGTGAACGTAGTTCCCTGTCGGAAGTTCTATTTCTATCAATCCCTCCTCGTCGGAGCAATCGGGACTCCGGCTGTCAAAATCGGAATCTTCTTCACTTGTGGGTGAAAACCGGCCAATAACTTCGTTTTCCGAGTAAGATTCCGGCAAACCCATATCTAAAAATCCAATATTTGTTTCGTCTTCAACCTGGTTTGAACTCTTGTGATGAGAAGTGAACAGAAAAGTGGAAGAGATCAAGATGATAGGCGTGATGATGATGAAGAAGAAGATGGTGGAATTACTAAAAGACCCACAAGCAAATGTGAAAATGGGAAGAAGAAAGGCAATAATCCATGGGCTTTTTAGGAAACAAAGAGGGAGTTTCATTTCAGTGACAATTGTGTTTTTTTTTTTTTGAATAAGTTGGAGACTATAAATGTTAAGACGGCAATTCGAGGATGTGAAAACCCTAACATATAAAAATTGTTTAAAATAACCGTAAGGATGGTGTCTGATTGGTTTGAGTTTGACTCTAAAGATCAAAAGTACCAAAAGGTTTTAGGTTTAAATCAAATGAGAAATAAAAATCCTCTTTTAGTCATGGAGGTTCAAATGCGATGACTCCAGTCTATCTGCAAAACAGATAGTCGGCCTAAGATTAGTCGACTCACATAACGGGTTGGATCTCTAAATTAATAAAAAAAATTGTTTAAAATGTGAGAAGCCATGCCCATGTGATGACCTCTTTGTTCACCACATGGCATCTTCCAGACTTTTAAGTATATTCATACATGCACATATACACAAAGGATGATCATATAAGAATAGGACTTAAAAAGTGAAAACATATGTAGCTTTTTTGTCACTTTTAATTTCATTTTCACCTTATAAATTATGTTTATTACATAAATGGATCTGCTATATTTCAGTGTACAGTGTCAGTGTTAATCTTTAATTAGAGATCAAATCTTGCACTTCTCATATAATTTTCATTCTCATCGGAATCCAACTATATATGTGTGTGTATATATATATATATATATATATATATGTATAAGCAAATGATTGTGTGATAAGAGAAGTTATAATGAGAAATGTAAAAAGAGATCTGAACCTTTGATCATTTTCATTCTCATGTTCACCCAGTAATTGTGCTCTAGAATGGAATTTATCTGGTGCATCAAGAGTATTGACATTCAATTAAGATTGATTTAAGGGTGAAGATAGCTTCTTACGCTTCTCACAATATATTTCCTTATCACTAGAACCCAACCATATATATATATATATATATATATATATATATATATATGCACACACACATACATACATATAAAAATATATATAGGGTTAGATTCCGGTGAGAAAGATAAGAAGCGATCTCACACCTTATATATATATATATGATATATATATATACACACACATACAGGGGACTAATCAAATGAGAACTAATTTGTTTGTGGTAACCGTGAGATCCAACCTCAATCACAAACCAATAGATAAATTAGGAATTTTATAATTTTGGTAGTTTTGAATTAAAATTTTAATGCAATGACATTTTAAGTATTCTAAAACTCTCCTCTTTCCTCTTTTCTCTCTCTGTCCCCCGGCCTCCGACCACCCTCCTCTGGTGATACCACAATGGTATCACAATGCATCTTATATGTGTTTGGGTATTACACTGAGGTCGTTTGTGTGGTCGATCGGAGATGTAACACAATGGTATCACAATGCATCTTATATGTGTTTGGGTATTACACTGAGGTCGTTTGTGTGGTCGATCGGAGATGTAACACAATGGTATCACAATGCATCTTATATGTGTTTGGGTATCACATTGTCTTTTGTTTAACATAGTCAATATTTTTAGGTATCACAGTGGTATCACCGAAGGACGACGGACAGAGAGAGAAGAGGAAAGAGAAAATACTTAAAATGTTCTTGCATTAAAATTTTAATTCAAAATTACCAAAATTATAAATTTCCTAATTTATCTTTTGATTTGTGGTTGAGATTATATCTCACAGTTATCACAAACTAGTCAGTTCTCCCTTGAATGAGCCTCATACACACATACATACAAAAAATATATATAGGGTTAGATTCCGCTGAGAAATGTAAGAGGAAATCTCACACCTTGGATCAATCATAATTGAATATTAATACTAATGAGATGCACTAGATCAATTTATGTGAGAAACACAATTAATGGGGTGGGGGTGAAATCAAAGTGATCAATGGTCTAGATCAATTTCTTGTGTTTCTCACATTAACTTATATTCTCACACGATACTTCGTGTATACACACGTGTGTGTATTGGTTTTTACTGAAGTGTCCTATACAAACATCAATCTAGTTGGAATTGACGAATGACTTTTACGAGCTACTATTAGAAATCTAAAAGCAAGGTTTTTGTATCACATTATTTTATCGGTTAAATCAGTTTTTGAGTTATTTGGCTTTTCATTTGTTTTAAACTAGACGATCCAAACAAAATAAGATTCAGGTTATTTATATAATATTTATTTATGACAAATGCAACAAATAAACTCATACACGCTCCTCACATTTGGTGAAGTTTGAAACCAGTGGCTTTATGGTCTTTATCTTGACTCGATTCTTACACCAAACTTTCTTATATCATAATGTGCTACCTTAATCTCGCTACCAAACACCTGTAGCTTTAACTACCTTTTTTCCTCCGTTGTTCTCGATCTTTTCTTGAATTTCTTTCTTTGGTTTTACTCGGAAACGAGAAAGGAACAAATTCATATATGAGCACCAAATGGGTCTCAAATGCCGTCTCTCAAAGTAGTTCCTCCACACATGTTCTATTAAATGTTTAGCATGGTGTATTACGCTTCCAGTCCCAGTCTTGACTTTTCTTTCTATTTAAGTCCAAATTTCGAGATCTGATAATAACTAGAGCATTCAAATACTGTTTCATACATACGAACATTTCAAGGGTTATTCATATCATATGTAATTTCTCGTGAATATTTGTATACTTATTGATTCTTTTTCATAAATTAGATGTTTATTATGTATATTCGTTTTGTTGGAAGTCAATTACTGATTAATACATGCAAATACTGACAAGTCAAACTTTTAGCTTGTTTTTTTATGTATTCATCATCTTAAAGCATATACAGTAGTTTTTTTAATTTCATAACCTGATGTTCTAACTTTGTCAAAACTGATTTTTCAATACACAGATGTCTTTTCGTTTAAGAAATGATCAATACATACAAGAAAATATCAGAGGTCGTCTTCTCAATCAAGTTTTTGTTTTTATTATCAATCTATCATATACAGTATATGTCCTATTTTTTAACGTACTTTTATGATGTTATACGTTGCTTGAAATTTGCAAAATGATATTAAGCATACAAAAAGTGTATGGTAGCACTTTTTATTCATTAATTGGTCATTTTGTTCCAATGTATTATTTAAGTTGTCATATTACATTACATATGCGTGCACACTTAGTGATTGTTTACTTGCGGCTTAATTAGGCTTATTGGTCTATCTGACTTATTCGCACAGCTCATTTGGGTTGTTTACTTATGGCTTATTCACACATAACATGGTTTAATCGCACAAATAAAAATGTTGTGTTATCCCCATTCAGCCACAAAAATGACACATCTACCCCTTATTTAAAGCATCGCCTTCTTCCCAAATGAGATACCCCATCGTCAACCTCTTTATGATTTTTGTTTTGTTTTGATGTTCAAATAATTAATATTTGAGGGTAAATCGGTCATTTATGTTATTCAGACTGTTGGTTCAGATAATTACATTACTTTTCATCTAATTTTTTTTAAGTAGATGACCCAAATGCAATTAATTTAACATGCACCATCCCCTTTTGTTTTATTTAGAGTAAATTATAAAAATAGTCCCTATACTTTGTGAAAAAATCTGATTTTCGTCTTGAACTTTTGGAAAATACAAACACCGCCAGTCATGTTTGGATTTTATTGCAGAAATCCTCATCGCCCCCCTAATGTTTGGTACCTAGTGTGTTAAGTGTCCTCACGTACTAGTCATGCTTTGATCATTCTCAACGATTTTTTAACCACAAAATGAAGGCAGGAGACAAAGAGGACCAAAGAGGGGTGGACGGAGGTTGAAGCCTCCCCCCTTACACCTTGAAAACACACACACCACGTCACCTACATAAATCCGACGAGAGCTCTCTTGCAACGGTTGTTCTCTTGCTTCTGTTCATCTCTTCACCTGCCTCACTTGTTACAACCATCTCTTCATCTTCAAGAGGTGCAATAGAAATGGATTTGAAGTACAATCCAAACTCCTCGATCTGAAGCGCTACATCCCTGATGATATCTTTTTGTCCCATGTTGATTCTTGTTTTGATCTGCATGAATTAAGTATTACAATTTTAGTCAACAAGAAGGTTTTTCGATTTTAGGGTTTTAATGTTCATGATATTCTTATTTTTCATGCCCTTAATTTATGGTTTTTTATCATTAAAATTTGGAATAACATACAATATTTGTTGTCATTCCTGATGATTTGCGTGCAAAATTCTATTACACTTTGACATTTGTTTATGTTTTGATTTTGCAAGGTTTTGTGTTCATGTTCTTCATGTGGGTTTTAGGTTGTCGTTCATGTTCATCTTGTTTGAAAATCTTGATGATGGAACGAAGAAGAAAAAAGATGGTGAAGAAAATGACCAAAATGCCCTTCACATAACTTAAACACGGGGCACAAAATACTCTGGCAAAACGGTTCTAACATTTCACGAAACTGGACGACCTAACAGGAAGATTTCAATTTCTTCTTGTTTCGTGGAACGAAGTCGATCCACTTAACCAGTAAAAACTTAATGACCCAAAGGACAACTTTCGTAATGAAATGCAAACCTAAACGAAAGTCCTTGTAATTTGCGAAAGTTAAGGACAAAACACCGAAGTCTCCACAAACCTAAGGGACAATTTTGTAATTTACTCTTTTGTTTACTAAAAACATCATTACTCCAACCTCTCAAGCAAAAGGATCTTCCGAACTCATTGGAGGATACAAACACTTTTTCTTTTTCCACCAAGAAACAGGGTTTTAGACAGAGGAGAGAAGCAGTGTGTGTTCTTGTGTGACAACAAGGGTTTTCCATCAATCATCTTTCTTGATCGCTTTCTCTGTGCTTAATTATTTGTCAAACCCACTTTCTTTGCCATTCTTCATTGATCTGGGTTTTTCATTTCTTATGAAAAAGATCAAGATTTGTGTGTGTTTTTAAGTGGGTTTTCACATACAACCTTCTTCAGTAATGGGTAATGTAAATGGCAGAAAAGCAAACAGTGAAGAGCTTGATCAAGATGAGCAAGGCCATGTCCAGGCGCAGGTTAGCAGCAGTCATCATGCACATATGGTTAACCCCTCTTCTCATATGTGCACTCCTCAGGTCAGTCAAGTTCAAGCACCAAGTATTTTACATGGGGGTGTAGGGATGTGTGTGTGTGTGTGTTGGTGCTAACATGAGCATCTCAAGATTCAATGTTTATGATGGTTGATGGGTATTTGGTATTTTTAGGTTTTGATTCTTGCAAAACTGTATCTTTGATAAGGTTAACATTTCTATATTTAGAAAGCAAGTAGAAATCATCAAAGAATCATTGCTAGATGTTCATCAAGAATGTGGGCTTTCATGTTCTTGAAATCTTGCAAGACTGAAGCTTGATTTCACTGATTCTTCCAAGATTATTCGGTTTCGGTTTTTTACTTTCTATAAATGGTAAAGAATGTTGGGTTTTCTTTCAGGTCCCTGTTGATCCTTGTCAAAACCCTAATCAAATCATGCAAATGGAAAAGATTGGATCTAACGAACCATCAACACAATATCGAACCGCCGTAATCAGATGGATTCATGACGGAACTCGGGTTGCTATTGAGGGATCATGGGATTACTGGAAAACAAGGTTTAATTAACACAAATCTGAATCAGGATTAGTTGCTAGTAATTTCTAGATTTCTAACTGTACAGATTCTTGGATCTTTATATGTTATCAGAGAATTCCTAGATGGATCATCGGGCAGCGAATTTTCTATCGTTAAGATGCTTAGTGTCGGTGTTCATCTTTATCGTTATAATGTTGATGGGCAGTGGACTTATGCTCCTGAGTTGCCACACGAGTGCGATGAAATGGGAAACATTTTCAACGTATTGAACTTGAAAGTAAGCTCTCGATCCTCTAGATTTGAGTATCGTTTGAGTTCTAGAGTCGATGATTTGCCAGAATTAATCACAGTATGCTTAATGGGGATAAAAAAAGCTTGAATTTTTAGTTTCTAATTGTTCAGAAAGTGCTGTTTGAACATATAAACTGATCCAGAAATCTGATTCTTGATTTTCAGAACAATTTTCAAGAACCCGAGTGCCCGTCATCACCGATATCAAGCTACAGCAATCCAGCCTTCACTTTAGACGATCTGAACGAGAAGCTGCCTGAATTACCTCCGTTACTACAACAGATGCCTCTAAATCAGGCAGCTGCCTCCACGAACCACCTAGAGGAACCGTTATCGGTCAATTTAAACCATCTGTACTGTCAAAGAGGCGATCGCAGTCAGCCAACTCTTGCGCTGAGTTCTTCCCTGCGATTTCGGTCCAAATTTGTTACTGCAGTGCTGTACAAGCCGTTAAAGAAAGTAGGAAACTAGAAACTTGCCGTCTTTTTTGATGGAATTTGTCATGAGAGTTGACTTTTGTATGTATATTTCTGGAGTCAAATACAGCAAGAACATGACAAGTCAAACAAAAAGAATGTAGATTGCTCTTACATTTTTAGTTATCGCAAACAGTGGCTGAACCAAAATTTTTGTTTAGTGGGTGATTTTTTTTAATTAACCTGGATATCCAACCCGCTATGCTAGTCGACTAATTCCAGGGTGACCACTTGTTTTGCAGATAGCCCGGAGTCACCGCATTTGAACATCCGTGACCATAAGGGGATTTGTATTCCTCCTTGACACCTCCTGGTACTTTTGACATTTGAATCCAAGCTCAAATCAATCAGGCACCATCCTTGTTGTTTAGTGGGTGCATTTTTAAGGTGGTCTTTAAAGTTGTTGATGAATTGAATTTCACCATTTTTAGAAGAAGAAAAAAGGTGGTGTTTGGTTGATTTCAAGGGATTTTTAAGTTTTTTTTTGGCTTACTTTGAGGGACTAATTCGGTTTTTTTGTTGATATTCCTTGTATTTTCTAATATCTCATAACACCCTTCAAAGTTTTGCGTGCATATCTTCATACCTCAAAAAACATTCTACTTACGAAGATCGATTAAGCAGTTGCACAGGTTTTGGTAGGTACGCCCCTGATACAACTAGTACATGGGGTTTTCCCCATAGATTGTCGGTTTGGATCTCTTTGGGGCCACTGTCGCTAGAGATTTTTCTTGGTTTTTATCTTCAGGGTCTCGTTAAATTAGTTGAGGTGGATGCAAGTTTGCAAATATACCAGTAATGGCAAAAAAATCAATAAAAAAATTATATATTGTTGTAACTACATGATTAAATAAAAGATTTTTATATTTATTTAGTTGTAATTATATTACTTGTATTCTTTTTATTTAAAACTGATAAAATTGTTAAAATGCATTAAGATGATGAACACGTTTTTCACATCACATTGTTTCCCTTTTTCATGTTTTTATCAAATTTACTGTTTAAATTAAATAATCAATAGATGTAGCAAATAATCAACCCAATAGATGAGTTTGTTTATTAACAGGTTAATGAAATTCACAGCTTTTATTTACAGTTTAATCAAATTCACATCTTATTCGGTCAGCTATACATGACTGTTTCGTAGTAGCTTAATGATATAGATAATGGCTTAAGAGCCGTTTACCCAAACATTTACACGGTAAGCCCTTACCAGTTAAATTTAACATTATTATTTACCTTACCAGGTAAGATTTTAGTTTATGAAAACGGCATTGTATGAAAAAATTTACCCGGTAAGGCTAACCGGGTAAGAGCTATCGCCTGCACTTACTGGGTAAGACTCTCGGTCATTGTCTTTGTCTTACCAGGTAAGATTCTTGATCCTTGCCATATTCATTGGTTAAGGCTATATAACTTGGTAAGTGCTAATCTGAATAAGCATTTGGTAAACAACCCCTTAGTCAATAAGCTATTACGGGGAGAGCTTTATGTAGAAAGTCAAGTTTTTTTAACAAACCTATCATTGTCGATTAAAAAAACACGTTTCCTTCCATCTATTAAAAAACCCTTCTAAACAAAAATCTTCTCAATCTTTACATACAAATTAATCAATACGGATAATTTTATCCATAAAAGACTTGATAGAAAACCAACTATCTCTGACCAGGTAAATGAACAGTACTTGAGCCAAATGTAGCATAAGCTACACATTTTAAAACCATCACTGCAATTTTATTAGGCTCACAAATCACAACATACTTGTAATTATCTAATAACTAGGGTTTGAGAAGGTTTCTGTACTAGTAGTACATTGCACAATAGGTCTAGTTAACCATACCCAGAAACGGTAGCCGCTGGGTTAATCCCGGATGGTCTTTTGGTTCATGGTTGACCGATTCCCTTCTTTAAAAGCATGTCATAAACTCTATCCACTTTGCTCGGTTCAACATTAAACAGGCGATGTGCATCCGACTTCTGAGCAATGTGACCATTCAAAACCTCTACGGACAGTTTCTCTAACATGCTAAGATAATGTACAGGAAGAACCCTGATCTCGGTGCATAGTCGTTTCTCCTAAAAAATGCACATAGTAAGCCGACCATGACCCTTTTCAACAATGGAAGAAAGATTAAAAAAAGTGATCAGAAGTCTTACAGCATCAGAGAGTAAATCTGCACCAAAATGTCCGGTGACATCCCAATCATCCACGTTGCCGATACCTAACCCTCCACATGTGGAAGAAGAGTCTTTGCCGGTGGCACCACCAACATCAGGATCCCCTTTTAGGTGATTTGCTCTTTGTAAAAATTTGCCGCTAGGACCAGGCTGTACATTATCCTTCACCCTGCGTGCATTTTCTTCGGCTTCTCTCTTTCTCTTCTGTTCAATGTATCTTTCGGCATCTGCAGATGTGCGGCAACCAGCAGCTCGAGCTTCCTGAACATGTATTCTAAAATCAATACTAAGAAAGCAGAAAAATAAGACACTTATATAACTACCAGATATAAAATACGAATCAAATCTGTGATAGAATCACCCAAACCACATTATATACTTAACGCACAAAGTGGGTATGGGGTTTATTTTTTTTCCCATTAAGCTGTCTGAAGAGATTAATCTGTCTGAATCTGTTTAATATGAAGCCAAAATCAAACAATAGTATATAGCTTAGCCTATTAATCCATAAACCCATTAAGCTTATTAAGTTGAAATCAAACAGCACCTAAGGTGCGTATATTGTAACATGATTAAGTTAACGTAAATTCAAGGCACATATCAAACCTGCAGATCCTCTATCCGTCTTCGAATCCTGTGTTCTTCAATGACAGTCTTGAGCAATTCCTCATGCTCCTCTTTTGTATGGAAACGCATGAAAACCCTGTAGCGACGACATATTTCTTTCTCTTCTGGGGAGAGGCCCTGCTCAAAAGGATCAGTATAAAGTAAATTTCTTTCCAGGATGAAGTCTTTCCTGCGTTTCCTCTCGTCTAGCCTGCCAAAATTTACCAATAAATATGAGAAATGGGTAGATAAGGTGGAAACAGATCAGACCCTTATGTCAGAAAGTATAGGGTGGTCGTATAAAGAATCCATATATGGGGTCTAATCGTAAGCAACACATATTAGCAGATGAAGTTAATCAGAAAGACATGAATACTTAGCAATTCCTTATAGCACCACGCATGTCATGATCACTTAAATTGCATTAATGCACATGGTCAACTAAGCAGAAAGATAGGAAGAAATGATGGTTGACCTTTTTGAGTATATACGCAAGACACGTAGTTTAAGTTCACGTTCAGGATCAGTGTCAGCATCCTTGAATTCCATGTCTGCCAGTAATTGTTCAGCGTCATTATCATATTCAATTTCAAATTCTTGCCTCTTGAAATTATAGCCACTCAATTCCGTTATAGAAGGTCCCTCTTCAGCTGATGTCCTCAGCTTTTTCTCTCCAAAGCTTCTGTCTGCATGAGAATCTGGGAATAACATACATGATTTCAAATAAAATCGACTTTGACCTTTGAGCAAGATGCAAGACTATGTGTTACACTCGACGTGTTTTTAGCCGAATTTCATCATTACAAGGAACTTTTTTGGTTTTGATTGTCATTTATCTTTCTTCTTCTAGGTTTCCTGATTTTGTTTCTTAATGCATCTAAGGCTTCTAGTATTGAATATGATATTTTACAATTAAAATAAAATTAGGGTTTGAGCAAATGAAAAAGGACTACACAATTTTAAAGCAAATCAGATTTAGAACAAATATAGAATTTAGGGCAAATATATAATAAAATAAAATCAATTTAGAGTAAACCTAGAATTTAGGGTAAATGAGGCAAATCAGTGATGAAATTAAAGCAATTTAGGACAAACAAATAATATGCTTGGAAAATACGAACTAGATGAGAGGATGGATGATTCCTCATGGGTGGTGATTGAAGAACAAAAGTGGGAACAAAATCCCATTGTTGAGATAAGCTTTATTAAGAATTTCGATTTAGTCCCTTCAGTTTCAAAATATTTCAAAACACCCTTCTATTTTTTAAAACTTCGGAACCATTAATTTAAAAGATAAAAAATAAGCAAATGCTCCAAATGAGCCTCGAACCCGAGACCACTTGGGGAGCAGTGTGTTTACAGATTACAACGAACGATCTTACCAGCTTCCGTATGTTGATATATTTATTTAAGAGCACACTTATAATTAGACGGGTGCACCACATTAACGTCTCATTTTTTATCTCTTACAATAATCGAGTGAGCGGGTGCACGGGACCTTGCTCAACTCTTGATATGTCCAGCTCTAGCTACAACTCATCTTTTGAATCAAAATCTAATAATGAGATTTCAGAACTCTTTTTTATCAGGGTGAAGTTGCATATTTTCCTGGTTTCTATGCACGTGTGCATACCAGACAAATTACTTACAAATTACTTGTATGCACATGTGCATACCGTGGAGATGAATGGTTACTAGGGTGTTCCTCGGTTTTTCATCTTTTTGCAGTTTTCCCCTGAACCTGGCCCTATACATATACACACACACACATACAAGACTACAGGAACAGGAAACATAATTCCAATGCTGTATATCATTCAATGAAGGGTCTCAATAAAATTGAACTCCATCTGAAAACATTAAAAAAAATCAATTTTGACAAAAAAATGACCAAGATGAATTTTTGAATCTAAGAAGACTCAACCTTCAAAGCCTTTATCTCAAGATAAGAAACTATGAACTAGTAATTGAATCTTGTTTTATCAAGTATGCATACCTCTTGTGTTTAAAAGTATATTTCAAAACATTCATTGAAAGACACTAACTGATGTATATGTGTTCATATAAATGTATAAATAAGTCGATTATCTAGACAATCTATACGGTGTTGTAGACATTAAAGAATGGACATATGGGAACTTTTCATACTGCTTAGGACATAAACAAAATGGTTAATATTATGAAATGAAGGTAGGGTAGCATAAGCAAAATCGATTGAGCATATAGCAATAACTGAACCGAGCATATAGCAATAATTGAACCTGGTCCATTTAGTTGGATGGGAGACTAGATACTACTAACATACAAACTACGATTCTATTCGAACCGTTATAAGCAAGCTGTCAACAAGAAACTTTTGCATCTGATATTCACCACAACCCTCGCTAGGCCAACCTACTGTGAGGAATTGATTTTCATCCAAACCAAAAAGAAAAACAAAATGATGGTACAGTATTATAGTCTAAAGACAGACTAGAACACAACTTCATATTAGTCCTGAGATGTTCATTGATTTTTGTATGCCCAAGAATCTACAAGGATGGTCCATTAGTCATATCTGCCACACTAGACCTAATCTGGATAGGCATCCATAAGAAACTAATGATGGTTATCTGCATATAAGTGCAATTCGGACATACCTTCTATCTTAATCCCATCGCCACCTTTGTCACTTTGAACAATGCTTGATGTTCTCTTTCCTGCCCCTGCTGATGCATTAACAGTGCCAGAACCTCCAACGGAACCTACATCTATGTTACAAAGAGAAAACATTGTTACATCATTGTCTCTCGTGTGTGTCTGTGTGAGAGAGAGATGTATATATATATATATATATAGAGAGAGAGAGAGAGAGAGAGATGCAAGGACAACTCGCACATACCAGAAGCTAAGGCAGATGAGGACCGACCTGCGGAACCTTCTTTTCTTAAATCTTCAACCCTGACCAAGCATTACCAAAAGATTGAGTAATGATGAAAAAATGAATTTGCATGAAATAGACAGAGGTTAAAGAAGTATGATATACTTGATTCTTGCAGAGAAGGGAGACTCCTCTTTCACAGAAAGTTCCCCTCCAGTTGGGAGCCCTGATGCAATGTAGAAAATCAATCAACATAAACAACATCAATACATGGACTATATACACATGTACAATATTTCAATTTCAGAAAATTCCACTGCTCCAGAGAAAGAGAGTCCACAATTGACATTTGAGTGTCAAACGAGTTACGTATTCAACATTAAAAAAGCGATAAATTGTTGCACTCCAAGCCAAAAGATATAATCACATCAAATTACATAAAAAAATTAGTGAACATTTTTTAGTACAATATATACCTGAAAGAATTTACAAAATCAAAAGTGGAACGGTTGTAAACAAAAGGAGGCATGTGGTTTTTGAAAGAAAGCAAGGCATAAAAATGATAAGGATGACAGCTTGGACATGTCTATGGGATATAAGGTGATGGCAAAAGATAAACTGCTAGCAACTTGCACATAAGTGAATTCACATCTCCTGTTTTCTGGTATCAAGAAACAGTAGCTCAAGACATGTTGTGGGATAATAACAATAATAATTCAATTGAACACCATGTATGACCTTTTGTGGCTTCCCCATGCCCTCTGGCCATTGCAAGAAGTTCTTCTCTATTCTTTCCCATAACATGAGACATGTCCTGGAAAGACATGGCACAAACATAAAATTCTGCCAATGTACCCCAAAAAATGAATATTGTAGAAAAAAAGGAAAAAAATTGTTATACCGGGAGCGGAAAGCATGGTGAATTCATGTATATGGTATTATAATGCTCAATACAACGTGATTTGCTTTTGGTTCCAACATGTTCGGCAACCTCGTTCCAGTTAGCCAGCCCATACATTTCTATCCCCTACAGAAAGATGATTTTCATTAGAGTGCTAAAATAATTCATCCTTTGTAACATCAATAGAATCGTAGTAATACATGTACAAGTATGAGCACATATTTTTTTGTTACATTCGGCAATGATAAAGAAACTTAAGTTTGATAAATTATGTCTAAAAGCAATACTTCACTAGCATGCAAAAAATATGTTCAAGGTAGCTGTAGAAGAAAATACCTCAAGTAGCAATATCTCCTCGTCTGCATTCCAGTCGGAACAGAAGAGCGGAAATGATAAATTGTCCTGTGGAAATAAAAAGCTCTAAGGTATGAGTAATGGCCATTGCCCAAGGAGACTTTAAAATTTGCATACCAAGACAAACAAAAGATGGTAACAAGATGAATTAGGTAAATAACAGGTAATTTAGTAGGAATGGCAGAAGTGGCAATGGCTGAATGAGAAAATATCATTATCAATCTTTGAAGCTCAAAAAAATTGGTGTATGTATGTTTGTATCTACAACATGAACAAGTCTTTGATCCCAATGGGATAGGCTATGCATGCCTACTTCCCTAAAATGACTCCCGTAAAACCCTGCAAAGAAAAAAATAGTCTCCTCTACTGACTATTTTGGGGGCCTGTGCTGTGAAGTAAGAAAGGACGAGGATCTCCTACAATCTCAACACTTGTTTATCCAGTATCGCCTAGATGACACCATAAGGCAGACACGAATCAAATAGCCCTAATTAATAAACAGAAGAATCTTTACTGCAAACTATCATAGGCTTGTTATACTTGTGCCAAAGCAGAGCCACAAACTAACTTCTCAAGAGGGTAGTCATCCTCTACTATGATCTATCTTCCTCGGAATAAATGGGCATGATATGAAGGTGAATTCTGCTCTAATATAGTAGAACAATAAGCAACTCCGAATTTCAAGCGTATACTAGTCAGAATAAAAGTCAAGTATAGGTCTTCATTGAACAACAAAATTGAAATAATGATGGTTTTAAGTCTGAATGTTTCTATCCTCCTGACTACTTTACTCTGTATGCTCTGTCCACATGTCCAGTTGCGATTAGCTGATTAGCTCATGATAGTAACAAGGCAAATCAAACTAAAGTAGATACAAGAATTTTCTGTTGATCGTTGGCATTAGTCACATTACTAGAGAATATATAGGGCCTACAGAGCCCTGTACAATGTAACACTTAGCAGAAACCATCTAAGTTATTCATATAAAATAGAGAGGTTATGCACCAAATATAAAGTTACTAACCATAACCCTGTATGAATGATTGCTTTTATGAGGGTAAACCTCAGCTCCAACAGAGAAACACTCTACACAAAGGTCGAAGTCAGAACAGCAAGCACACTTGATGCGTATCTTTCCCGAAATGTCCTTGTTGCAGTAGTTACAATGGTACAACGCTTTTTTGCCTTCACTCATCCCTTGGCCTATTAAAAGAAATTGAGGTTCCGTTGAAATCACACAATATGTACAGTAAAAGAATATTGAGTTGAGTAAAGAAACGACAAGGAAAATCCATACCTGCCAAGGAACATATCATTATTAACCATATTAATCGACCCGGAAAAGTAATTAATGGAAAGCATACCCACTCCACTGGATCGTGTTCTAGAAAGATAATCATCCAGGGATATGGAAAGATAAACTTTACATGAGAACTATTAAAGGCCATGGCCAAAAATATCCCCAAGAGAGCAACAGAAGTATTCAAGATGACTAGGTTTTTTGCACTCAACAGCTCTACATTCTCTTGGTGAAATTTTAAGTTTTTATGTGAAATTCGTCATGAGGGTTCCATTTATCGTGTCCTGTTTCTTAACCTTCATGGAGGTCTAAAAATGAGGCAATAGTCACCTGAAGACCACAACCCCCCTGCTCAACCCATTCCAAGAAATATTTAAGAGAAGCAAAAGTAGATGAAGACTCTGTTGTTCGAGATACTATTCTCTCAACATAACTTATACTTCTCATACAAAACTATCGGAGGATTCTTGAAATCAAATACCTGAAGTTGCAGCCTCCAGATTCTCCAAATTTGAGGCAGTTCGCTTTCTCTTTGATCGGCTGGACATTGTACAGAAAAACACCACGGTTGGAAAGGATTCAACCAGAATATATAGCCAAAGAAATTTGATGAATGCAAGGGTCATAGAACAGATAAGGCAAAAGTAAACACAAGACGAACGTGTTTTGCAGCAAAATTACCATAAAAGATTGCTAGGCTCAGTAATAAATACCCCGGAAGGTTCTAGACAATATTTTAACCAAACAGCTGCTCTCACCTTCCCTCCCCCAAAATTAGTACTACACTTTGCTGTTCAGGAGAGCCTACCTTATCAGTATATGCAGTGAGGCCTGATCTTCAAGGTCAATCTCAAAACCAAACTGTAATAAGAAGTAACGCACGAGAGCATGCACCGACATAACAAAAGAACATACAAAATTGATGACACTCTGGACATTTTTCCACTCTAAGCTTTGTTTTCTCTACGTCTATAAAGACTGCCTTTATGTATTTCCAAATTACAAGAAAAGATTGTTGAATTTGATTTCTATCCATTCATACCTGACATCATTCATTTGATGGATTGTTCATCACGTGACACTAAATTCTGACATTTTTCACTTACTAAAATTGTCGTTTTAGGTATCTTGTTGAACTCCAGTGGCAAAAAAAAGATTCAAAGATTATTCATTTAGCAAATGGGTTGGATATAAATTTATGACTCGGAATCAAGTTAATACGCACATACATCTTGACAAACTTTGTATTGTAGAGGAAAGAATAGGAATAAAAGAGCCAAGCAGGACAATACATTTACACAAGTCATGTATCTTTAAGAAGTTGCTATATGTTAATATCTCGGTATGACAATGTTCTCTTTCGCAAATCTAACCAAGATCATATTCACAAAAAGAAAAGATGACCGAGGTCCTCAAAAGCACAATTGCTTCACATTGTTTTTGCAATGTCTTTGGTTGTTCCACAATTCTCTTTGGCACATCTACCTTCATCCATCAAATGAAGACTTATTGCAAAACTCTACCATCTCACCAATGAGATAAAAACATTACACTATATTATTTAAGGCTGCGTTTGGTACATGGAACAGGACGGAACAGAACAGGACAAAACTCATTCTCCCACATTTGGCACAACATGGGACAGGACAAGAACTCATTGTCCCACGTTTTGCACGACATGGGACTGGGACAAGGTGGAATAGCGTGGGACAAAAAAAGCTTTTTTTTTCCACCAAAATACGTGGAACAAGATGTGAAAAGAATGAGACAGAAACTAAAATATTACTAATCTACCCTCGTTTGATATATAACCTTAATATGGTATTTGTTTTAGTGGTCACCACCGCTATACCGCCACCACCGGTAGCCATCGTCGGCCACCTCCAACTCCTCTTCCACTTCAATAACCTCCTCCACCACCTCCACAACCACCGTCGACCTCCGACCACCACCGTCCATTGCCGCCACCACTACCACCGTGGACCACCTCACCTCCACCACCACCACTATCTGCCACCAAGACCACTGCCCACCACCACTACCTCCACTACATCGGCCACAACTACCTCCTTCATCATTGTCGACCACCACCACCACCATTGCTATCTACCATCTTCACATCTTCCGCAACCACCGTCAACTACATACCACCACCATTAGTATCGGCGGTGGCCACCACCTCCACCATAACCGCCGCCGCCACCACCACCGCCTCCCAACATCAGCCATTACTACCTCCTCCACCATTGTTGACAACTACCACAATTAGCCACCAGCACGTCCTTTACAACCACCATCATCCACCAATCACCAATGCCTTTACCTTCACAACCATTGTTCTTGCAACAATCTTCACTGTGCCTTCGCCAATTGATAAGGATCTTCCAAACCGAATAAAACATAATTTCTCCTTTGTACACATTCGCTTTTTTCGAACTACCATCAATTAAATCAAATTTTTCATTCAAATTTGGTACTATTATATATGTATGTACCTATGTATATGAAAATTGTGTAAAAAATGTTTATAAATTAAATTATTTAACCATTTACTTTATTTGTGTTGATTATAACTATTAAATGATATAAAAGATCATCAAACTACTTTTGGGGGCAACTTGTCTAGTTTTGTCCTGTCCAATGCTAGTCGTACCAAACACCAGACAGACAATTGATGTGTCCAGTCCAATCCTGTTCAATCTTACCCTCTTGTCCTATCTAGTTTTGTCCTATCCAGTCCTGTCCAATCATGTTTGCGTACCAAACGCTACCTAAACAATATCTATGTATATATGGATTGCTTCTCATGGTGACATATCTTACAACTATTACATCGTTTGATCTTATTAACATAACTACTATGACATTCACCATATTCCAGCTACTTTAAAAATTGGCTTATCATACACTCAGGACCATCCTATAAATATCACTCCTCGACCTGCCATCATCCTTCTCACTTCATCTTTCATAATATCATGAGAAGGAAGAATAGTCTTCTTGGAATGGTTCAATGCTATGTATATTGTGAGGGAGAGCATTACTATTATCATCTTTTTACTGATCCGTAAAAGAGCACTAAACAAGTTTCAAAGTGATCTTGTATAAGAGTAGCTCATGATTTTCAGGTGAGCTTCTTGGTTACTTAGAGAGTTTGTCATTACAAAATTTCTCTTGTAAGCTCTTAACTACTAGAAAAATAAATGATCAAACAAAAATGAAAATGAAATTGATAACTGATACACTTGATCCACTTCAGGCATTGACCTTTAAGCATGCGTCACATAGAAGGAATTACCTACTGTATAAATATATAGGGATCACAGTGACATTACTAATCATGCATCTTAAAGACTTGTAATTTAAATTCATTAAATGTTATAAAATCGTTAATCCTGATGATGAATTATCACCCAACTCATAACACTGAAGAATACAACAGATAAAAACACCATTACTACAAGTAGTAAGATGTACTCAAATGAATGCACAGGTATCCCCATCACAATCAACAAGTTCCTCATATGACAATATATACAATGCATAATGTTCAATTGTCTTCTTTTATACTTCATTGTTCTAGGTAAGAAGTTAAACTGACTTTAGATGATACAGGCTTCAGATTATGCTAACCCATAATAGAAAAGCAAGCAAACAAGATTTTTGAATTCTGTAATTGTTCATGGTAGTTTTCATTTCAAAATTGTAGCAAATTATCGTTCAGATACTTCGGAATACACAAAAAGACATGAATGTAGCTAAATTGAACCACTTAAATTAGTGAAAAATTTTAAGTTCGAACAAAATTACCACGTTATGACATATTTAAATTATAATAACATGAATACCTTTGACTTGGATCCTCCTCGGCAGAGTGATTGACTGCCCGTGAACGGCCCATTCTTCTTTAGTTTATTGAATAGCTTTGGGGACGAAACCCTAGAATTTCCAAATTAATAACACTAACTTCCTGTACAGAATCGATAAGATTTTGATTCGAAAATCGAACTAGAACACGAAAACTTTTGTGCGTCTTTTGGGAAATTTATAGCAAAACCCTCCGGGATCGGTCACCGGAAAAGTAAGATACCGATGAAGTTGTTTTTGATTTATAGGGGAACGACTAAATTTACATTATTTACATTCTCACCCCATTATTTTTCCTTTATTTCTACTTTTGCCCCACATGAAATATTATTTTTCTTACGTATCCCCAATAAATTTGGAGCTTTTGCATTTGCCAGTATATTTTTACACTTTTTAAGTTGCATAATTCACAATTTCAAGTTTACATGGTTTTAAAACAATAAGGGACTGTTCGTCTGTTCGGCAATTGCTGAATGATTGGGTCGAGAATGATTAAATGGTCAAAATAATTAAGAGGCTCTCATGATATAATGCAAAATGAAATATAACTATTTGGTAATTGTTTACAATGAAATTAGGGCGTTGAATGGTTAAGTGGAGCCAATGATACAAAATCATTCAGAGGGTTTTAGAATCATTAACAAGTCAAACCCTTCCATATGAAACTATTTTTCACGTGCATTATTTCACAGTTATAACAACATAATCAATTTAAAGTGTTATAATAGCGAACCAAGTCAAGCCCTTCCATGCACTTGGTATACTATAATGCTCAAATGTTGATTCCATATAACAAACCCAAACAGATAAGTGTACTGTTGAGATTACGTGTACATTTAAATTTGTATGAAACTATAAGTAACGATATAAAATGGATAATATAACACATATAATCATCCATAATTAATTGCATGGTCTCAACATGCTAGTTGTATGTCTTCCATTGGAAAACAAACCACGAAAGTTCACCTGGATTTCTTGAGATACGAACGAATATTGAAAAACTTGCAATGAACCAGGCACCTACATGCTACAATGGTTCCTAATTGATCATGCACAAAACTACACTACCGGTTACCATTGATTCACATTATAGCAGCACGAAACATAATTGGACAGAGGACTACACGACTCATGAGGTCGTGTAGAACCTTACCATCCCTCCTTCTGTATGTGAGCTTAGGCTCACATTCACCATCCCTGTCTCGGAGGTAGGCCAAATGCGAGGACCAACTTTGCCCGTAACTCCCCTTGTGCAACCTCACCTACATAAGTTCGTGACCAATCTCACTTTCAAGCCCAACAAGTTCTACACTATTTGTTGTTTCACAAACGGGTTATAGTCGAGATTTTTTCTTTTGTCATTAATCCTACTAAAGTCAATGTTTTTTGCATACAAATTACCTTACACGATATATATATATATATAGGGAAGATCAAATGTTAACCATCATTTTTGTGTTAACTTTGAAAACCCTCTCAACAATCAAATTTCATTATTCTTATAGGTTTATGTCTTGTTCATTTTACCCTTACAGGGGTATTTTAGTAAATTGAATTCATTTGTAACCCCCAAACAATTAATGGGGAGTTACAAACAATCAAATCCCAAAAATATGCATTCATATTATTAATTTTTTTTTTTTTACTATTGATCTTCCATGTTCATACTTGTATGAATTCCTAAATCGTATAAGAAACATGGTAGTAACGATTTTCGGTATTGATCAATTTGAACACAAATGAACCGTGAACACAATTTGAACACAAATGAACAACTGTGAACACAATTTTGAACACAAATGAACCGTATACACAATTTTAACAAATTAACAGATGAACACAAATTAACAGATGCTATCTTAATTTTGTGGGACGTCTATGTATGTGAATATATGGGCCAAAAATTGCACATATCGKGTTCATTTGTGTTCATATCGTGTTCATAGTTCATTTGTGTTCAAATTGTGTTCATGGTTGTTCATTTTTGTTCAAATTGTGTTCACGGTTCATTTATGTTCAAGTTGTGTTCACGGTTCATTTATGTTCAAGTTGTGTTCATGGTCCATTTGTGTTCACGATTCATTTTTGTTCAAATTGTGTTCACGGTTCATTTGTGTTCAAATTGATCAATACCGAAAATTGTTACTACCGTGTTTTTTATGCGATTTAGGAATTCATACAAGAATGAACATGGAAGATCAATAGTAAAAAAATATATGAATGCATATTTTTTGGAATTTGATTGTTTGTAACTCCCCATTAATTGTTTGGGGGTTACAAATGAATTCAATTTACTAGAATACCCTTGATAAGTGTATTTTTTTCCCAAAATGTCCCTTTCATCATTATTCACTAGGCCTCGTTAAAATTCAAACTTTAAAATTTAAATTTTTTTATTGATTAATTTTAACCGTTGATTATAGATTTTGATGACCAATATCAGTTAATAAGGTTAACACAAAAATGATGGTTATCATTTGATCTTGGCCCTATATATATATATATATATATATCATGGATATACAAGAATATAACGAGACTAAAATCACTAACTTGGCCTAATTGTTTCTATTTTCGTATCAACTTTAAAACAAAAGATTTCCCATCAAACCAATGATTTTTTGTTTTACGTGGAATAATGGGAATGGTTTACTTTTGATTTGGTTCATGCCAAAGCCCAATTGAGTTCTTTTTCTTCCCCCAATTCAGCACTTTTAGCCCATTTTCGAGATTGTTTCAAATACAACTCATCACATTTATACAACTAATGCAACCCAATAAATTGAAATATTTATGAAAATGATGAGAGTTCATTTATTATAATTTATATATATTTATGAAATATAAATAAGATTCATTAATTATGATCAATACTTTATATTAGTATACAATCAAAACTTTTATGAAATTACATATTCATCAAATTAAATAGACGGTTGAGATTAAGTTATATTAGTTGTATAAATGTAAAGGGTTGTATAATAACTCATCTCTCTCTTTCTATATATATATATATATATATATATATATATATATATATATATATATATATATATATAGAAAGAAAGGTTTAATTAAAGAATGGAAGACTCATTTGGAGTTTAGAAGAGAGGTTTGGCTTTCACCCCATGGTTTCTTCCATTGATCTTCTTTGCGTTTACCTTTTTCTCCTTTGTTTCTTCGTTTTGTTTTATTTTGTATAGAAGCTTGTACATATTTGCTACTCCACTATAATATTTATATATCTCACTATGAGAATATTATTATTTTTTTCATTATAAAAAATATATACATATATATACACACACACATAAGTTTAGAGGAGCAACAATACGAGCAAATATTCATGAAAGACGTTCATGATCGCCTAAGCAGGCTAATATGTTTTCTCTGCACTCGTCTTTTTATACTAATTACAACTTTAATGTTTGTACTAAAATTATTAAAATTATATTTTCTATTACTAAATATTAAGTATATGACGTTGTGTGGTTGTTAATTGGTTATTATTTTTATTACCATAATTTTAAGTTGTAATTTACTATTTGATCAAATAAAACAAAACAAAAAAGTTAAGTAACCTTTTTAACTATAGTTAATCAGATGGAACAAAAGTAAATTAAAATGGCAACCACAAAGACCGAAATTATAATTAATTTAAAAAAAGAACCAAACTTGATAAGAACAAACGGGTGATGAAATCAACCAATTTTGAATATTGTCATCTACATGTAGGTTTGTGGCCACTCGTAGATTTTTTTTTGGATTGTGGGTGAAGCTTACTGTCGCAAATTGTCATTCAATAAGTCTGAGTAAAATGTGAAATCACCAACTAGGCTTTTGTTTTCATATATATGAAACTCAACGTACACATTCACATGTGAAGCTTCATACGAAAAACTTTACATCTAATCATTTAACCATTTCCAACTCAATAAAGCATATCCTTTCTGTCCCAAAATAACTGGATTTCTATTTTTACAAATAAAAGGTGATATAGATCACTATTTTCGTCTTAAAACGATACAACATTTTCTTTATCTAGAGTTGTCGTAAATGTACTGTTTTCTTTACTTGCAATTACAAAAAAAAATGGCATATTATAGCATTTATAGAACAGATAATTTCGCATATTATACATATTTTTACAGTAAATTCCCAAAACTCTGTAATTAAATCCTCGTATTTGATTTTCATATAAAACTTTAAAAGTTACTGTAACCTTAAGAAATTATTAATTCTAAGTGGCCTATTTTTAATCATTAATCATTACAATGTGCACCGACTAATCTCTCAAACGACCGTGCATTGACTTGAAGTTATCGTAAATGAACCTTCATGACCACAAAGACTGTGACAACGTCTAGATTTGAAAGCAAAATATTATCTTTGTCTCTCAAAAGAGCATTTTAGATATTAAATTAAATATATATATATAGAGAGAGAGAGAGAGACGTGGGTGAGACCAACTTGTTTTCGTGAGACCCATGAGACAACTTTTCTACACTTGAAATTCATAGCAAAATGTTGTGAAGACAACTTTCACAGTATTTTTGCCGTGAAGGTTCGACTTTTTTTACCTTCACAATGTTTTGTTGTGAAGTTTCAAATGTAAAAAATGGTCTCATGAGTCTCACAAAAATAAGCTGGTCTCACATGAACCCAACCATGTATATTATTTAACGAGTGTTTAAATTTTGAAGAATAAAAAATATGGTACAAAACTTCTAATCTAATCAAGAATAAATTCATAATATAGTAAAATTTAAATGTTAAGAGTTGAAAAAAAAAGATTAAATCAAATATTTATATTTGTAAAAATCTATTTGTCATTTCATAAAAACAAAACATTAATGTCAAATAGTAGCGTTTAAAACGTTTACCATATTTTTTTTTTAAACTTATTACGTTCTTTTTTTTTTTTTTATTAACTTGAATATCCAACTCGTTATGCAAGCCGACTAATCCTAGAACGACCACCTGCTTTGCAGATAGCCTGGAGTCACATCATTTGAACTTCCGTGGCCACAAGAGAATTTTTATACCTCATTGGATTTGAACTTGGGACCTCCTGATATTTTTGACCTTTGGAGCCAAGCTCAAACCAATCAAGCACCACCCTTGTGATTGAATTTATTTTAGTGATAATATTTGTATTTATATGTTGTATTATACTGATATAATTTTTTACCAGATTCGAATTTATCAGATTGAACTTACGTATTATATGATATATGATAAAAGTTATACACGAATCCTCCACATCACATCTCAAACGTTGAACACACCTTCAACGTCCAACTCATCCATTCGACTTACAATTACTATTACGTAGTTTGAATATTGCCCCACAATCAGTATCGACCAAAAATAACCACAACCAGTCTCTTAAAGTCACCATGCCAGAACTCCGTGCATAAAGCGTGATTCAACAGTAAACTCAAAATAAATTACAAGTTCAAAATGAGAAACATTTTCTTATTTAAACTCGACCAAGATGTACTTTTTAAAAGCAAATGTACTCTTTCCGGTACTAATCCAAATTTAATTTTATTCGTTAAAATAATATATTTGCAGTTCTTAATTATATATATATATATATATATATATATATATGAGACTAACATGTTTTTGTGAGACTCATGAGACTACTTTTTTACACTTGAAACTTCATAGCAAAACGCTGTAAAGATAAACTTTACAGTGTTTTGTTGTGAATGTTCGACTTTTTTTTTACATTCACAGCGTTTTGCTGTGAAGTTTCAAATATAAACAAGTGGTCTCACGAAAATCCAACTAAATAGTTTATGGTAAATGTGAGGTCCAACATGAGCCAATCATTTTAGATAATTAATGTTATTTATTAAAATAAAACAAAGGACAAATTAGTAAATTGTGTTGATTATTCAATTTACTTTGATTACTTAAATATTCCAATTACTTTAATTATTTTAATATATGTATATATATATATACACACACACGCACACACACAGGAATCAAATCCGGTGGCCTCCTCCGGTCATCTTGTCTGGGCAAGACGCCTCCGATGATCGAACACTAAACACCCACATGTGACAGTTGTACCACAGTTGGTATCACATTGATCTCAAAGTTTACTTGGTGTGTTTTGGGTACCACATTGTATGCATTTTGAGTATCACATTGTGTATCTTGGTGTATTTTGGGTATCACGTGGTGTTCGTCGGAGGCTGGAGGTAGGAGAGAGAGATGAGAGATAAAAAATTTAAAATACCTAAAATACCCTTTAATTATAATTTTAAGTCAAATTACCAAAAAAAAAAAAAAAATTAATTCCTAATTTATCCATTGATTTGTGGTTGAGATTAGATCTCACAGTTATCACAAACTAATCAGTTCTCCATTGAACGAATATATATATATATATATATATAATTAAAAGTGAAAAAACTTTTTGAAATTACGGGGTTCACGGGGCTGTTTTTGCAATCTTGCTGCTTGTTGAGATCAAATCATAAAGAATCCCAATGCTATACTTCCAACCTTATACCAGACAATTTTTATAGCTACCTTTTCTTTCTTTCTTTCCAACTTTCAATTACATATTATTGTCATTATTGTACCACTTTTATTGCATCCTGTACAAGTCGATATTTTTACAATCGTCTTCGATACTTGTTAGATGGTTTTGGAAATGTTTTTAAAGACTTTCGTTTGTATACTAAAAATTATATACATGTGATCACCCGATAACATGGCCAAAATAAGAAAACAGTCAAATCACATGTGATTACATAACATAATCAACACATATGAATTTACACGTGATTGTAGTGTAATATGTGATATGTTCGTTATCGTATCCTCTTATTTATTTCTTTTTCTGGTTTGAACATAACTCTATGCATATATTATTATGTATGTATGTGAAGATGAATGGCATGAATATGATGGCATGGGCCAAAATCCAAAGACCACTCAGACGACCAAATCTAAAAGTGAAAACTACCTGACTCTGATGCCTTGGGTCTCTTTAGCTTTGGTTGGATCTTAACCTACATTATTCTCTGCATACCCCAACCATCATACATACATAATGCATCCTACATATCATATGCATGCATACATCTATTCATTCATGTCTGACTACATGCCTACATAATACATCCATCCATTCACAAGACTGCAAGAATTATTCGTAACACTTGAAGGGTTTTCCTTTTGTATTTAAATCCAAGAATTATTCGGATTTTTTTTAAATAAATTAATACAAAAAATTGACATAAAATAAAATAAAATAAGAATACAATTTTATCAACACCAATTGATTCGGTGTATTGTGCCGATTATTTGGTGAAAGATGATGTTAGAAGGAAAGTTATGGTGAGAACTGTAATAAGAGATTTGACCCTTGATACACCATAAATTGCACTTTGGAGATGAATTGATCTGGTGTATTTCGGTGCATCTCATTAATGTTGACATTCAATTAAGATTGATCCAATGATGATTTTTTTTTTTTTTTATGTTTCTCACCATAACTTCTCTTCTCACCGAAACCCAACTCTGACCTGTAACTTAAAGAAACAAATAGTTATTTAAAACAAGTGAACCTTCAAGACCCTCATATTTTTTCCTACAGTGACGAGTCGAATAAGTGGTATCCCGTGCATATTTTATCTTTTAGTGATTCGATATGTAAATTTAAAAACTTAATTCAAAAGAAAACAACTCAAACAGTCTAAAAATCGCATAAAATCGTACAAAAACATATACACCTTTCCAAATCCATTTGATCCAAAATACTGGACCGACCATTATGTGTTGGTTGGGCAATTCAACCCGACCTCGTATATTCAACCATTCTTTATCCGTTTCTGTAAAAAAAAAAATATCTGAACCCATCTTAATATTCAGATATATCAAAATAACAGTAACAGAATTATGTCAAATATAATAAAGAAGAAATCAAAATCATAGGATTCTCAAAGGAATAGGATGAAAGATGAAGACAAGGTTCTAAAATCTTCAAACAACAACATAATGTGAACCCTCAACTCAACACACAATATTATTGGTTGAAACACAAGTGTAGCATCCAAGGTGATATGGTTGTTTTATTCCCCCTCCCCTCCCCTCTCAGTTTTATTATTTATAAAGTCAACTCATCTAATTTTGACTTTTGCTTAAATACTACAAAAACATTGTTCATATCATGTCAACTAAAAAATTAAGATTAACAACTCTGTTCACAAATAATATTATCTGGGTAAAACAGAAGTTTAAATTGTGGTGACTCTGAGCTATCTACAAAATAGGTGGTTGTTTTGGGATTGGTTGACTTGCATAACGGGTTGGATAGTTATATTATTGTGGTGTTAATAATTATTAGTAGAAATTAATATTTTTTAAATAATAAAAAAAGGTAGTGGGAAATAGGGGTGATATGATATGACAGAGTGCACTAATTTGAAGCTAAATGGGTGTGGCTATCTATCGTAGGTGTTAGCCACTGTTATATTCAACACCTACATTCATGGACCATGGATCCATGTGTATGTATAGTTATGGTCCATGTTTATGACTCTCCCATTTCAACCACCACCCTTCACCCTTCACCCTTCACCCTTCACCATTATCTTCTTTTATATAATAACCAGGTTACAGAACGCGGATCGATGTAGTTGGATTTCAAGGACTTTTAAACTCATTTATGTTTTTTTTTTATAAGTGTTTACTTGTAAAATTCAACACTATCATTTACTTATCGGGTAAGATTTTAGTCTACTGAAACGATATCGTATGCAATAATTTACCCGGTAAGCGTTTACCATGGTAAGAGTCGTCGCCCTTACTTACCGGGTAAATCTCTTGGTCTTTACCGTATTCACCAGGTAAGGTAATGTGACTTAATAAACGCTTATCCGGATAAGCGTTTGGTAAACGGCCCCTTAATCACTTAAAATTAAAAAAAAAATTGAATTTTTTTTCTTAATTTATAATTTGAAATTTTATCTTCCTACACCATTTTTTTAAAATAAGAAATATTTATGAGTTATCTCAACTATCAATAAGACTTGGACTTTCGGGGAATATTTCTCAGATATTATCGGTTCGAGTTATGCAAAACAATTGGGATTTTCCTGGCTATACCAAGGTTCCGTGAAATTGGGGTGTTCATTCGGATCCAGTCAATAATGATGTTGGATTTTGTTATCCAATCCGATTAACGTTGGACATTCGACCCGATCCAACCAAAATCCAATAGATGATTGGATCGGGTCGGTTACATCAGTTGTATATTACTATTGGTTATCTATTGGATCAGATTAGATTCATCCAATTTTTTGATCCAATACTCAACCAATGAATCCACCATTCCAACCAATTATTCATATATTATATTAAGTTATTAAAAAACAATAACAATAACGGAAATGTTAATAACTATATATAGCTATTAATTGGATGATAATTAGATAGAGAACTGGATAGTCATTGGATTCTATCAATTCGATTTTATTGGATGATTGACTACCATCCAAAAACCGACCGATCCGATTACAATTGGATATTCGATTTTGATCGATCGATACTAACTGAATCGATCAGTTTAAATTGGATCGGATAGTTTTTTACACACTTCTATCTAAAATTAGTTTAAGATATATACAAGTTGATGTGCATACCCTCATTAAAAAATTGTTGCATTTCTTCTTCCTATAAAAGTTAATATTTGTTTATAAAATTACTGTGAATTATTAAATAAATAAATAAAAAATAATAATTACACGAAAAGGTTTGACAATTTGATGGGTGTAACGGATCAAAAACAAATTAAGCATTGAATCCTGTAAATAAATAAATAAAAATAGAAAACAAACAACAAACCAACATTTTCACTTTACCCCAAAAAAACAAAGAAATTGACATTTTCCTCCCCATTTAAAATAATATTTATTAAAATATTGACCCCCAAAGCATTGGTTTCTGTTCTTTCACACCCCCTTGGAATTTTGTCCCTTGGGGTTTTCCCCCCTTCCGTCGATACCCCTCCATTTCTTCACTTCTACAAAACCCCCCATCACCACCCTTTTCAAATCCATCATCATCATCATCTTCATCTTCACCACCACCCTTTTCAATTTCACCATCACCATCATCTTCACCACCACTCAATCATGGTTCTGATTCATGAAAATGAAGATCAGGTGTTTCATAATGATGATGATGATGATAATGATAATGGGAGGTTTTGTATAAATGATAACTTGGATTTGTTGATCGAAGTTCTGCAAAGGGTCGATGGAAGATCGTTAGGTTCAGCAGCGTGTGTTTGCCGGCAATGGTGTTCGATTGTGCGGAATGATTCGTTGTGGGAACATTTGTGTTTTCGTCACGTGTCGCCACCGCCGGTTGGAGTCCGACCGGTGGTTTCGGCATTGGGTGGGTATCGGAGGTTGTATATGGTGTGTGTGAGGCCCGTGCTGAGTCGACTCAAGAGGAGGAGAATCGGTGGTGGTGGTGGTGAATCGGAGGTGGTGAGACGTGTCTGGAACCAGCATGAAGTGGAGCTGTCTTTGTCGTTGTTTTGTGTGGAGTATTATGAGAGGTTGTTGGTCGGCGGTGGAAGAGGCGCCGCCGCCGCCGGTGATTCGCCGGCGTCGTCGCTCAAGTTTCTATGCAAGCCCGTGAATGTTTGACGAGGAAAAACGCCGAGAAAGAATCAAGAAAACGTCGTCGTTTCACTTATTTAAATATTGGAGCTAGTACCAGTAATATAGCGGGTGACATTCTTTATTTTCTTCTGGTTTTTTAAGTAATTTTCATAATTATTTTTGTGATTTTATTTTATATTTTTAAAGAAATAGTAATGAAATTAAAATATTTCGGATTAAAAAATCGTAATAATTCAATTTTATTTTTCTATAACAAACCCGTACCAATGAATCATAAAACCGAACTCATTGATTTCATTTGGTTTTCGTTAACGAATAGTACGAGCTCGTTTTGATTCATAGAAGTTTCAAACAGATCAATTTTTATTTCGTTTAAGATTTATTTTTTTTCAAAACAAGCTCAAGATTTAATTATTAAACCGAATAAAAATTGAATAATTTGATATTATATATCGACCATAATTATACGAATATATTCAACTTTCTCAATCGAAGTAATTCAATTTTTATTGTTGTATGTATAAACTCGGACCGTGAATCATAAAACTGAATCGATGGATTCCTTTTGTTGTCATCGACGAGTAATATAAGTTGATTTTAATTCGGGAATTCTCAAACCGAATAACTGGTTGATTCATAAATATATCAGATCAATTTTTAATTAAACTAAATTTAAATAAATTAATATTGTATTGGAATTATATATTTGGTAGAATAATACAAGTTTATTCAATTGGATAAGAATTAATATATTTTAAGATTACATTATTTATTTGTATTTTTAGGTGTGTACATGTATAATATAATAGGAATGTAAAATCATATTTTAAATTAAGATTGAAAAATTAATGTGATTTAATATAATTTAAAAAAAACTCTCTCTCATCTCTTCTCTTCTTGTAAGATACATTCAAATAAATATATAATATTATATACAAAGTGAATATACTGTGAACATTTTATTAAAAAAAATATTATAGTTTGTGAACACACTCTGAATTTACGAAATCTGGTATAACTTGTGAACATATTGTAAATATCAACTAAAGCAACAAACTAGATTTGAATATATGACTTTGTGAGACCACAATAGAAAATTTGTTAAAGATGTTTAGATTGTGTTCTGAATATGTTTATCTTGTGTGCATATTTAGTTGCGCATGTATGTTACAAGAGATATATGTATATAGGGTTGGTTCCAATAGAAGCATAAGAAGGGTTCTTCATCCCTGGATGCACATTATATAAGATGCATTGAGATGTACCGTATCAAGCACGATTCATGAGTGAATTTGATATCAAAGGTGATAAGGGTCTATATCTCTTATTACGCTTCTCACATTAACTCTCCTTCTTACACGATCATTCGTCTATATATATATATATATATATATATATATATAGAGAGAGAGAGAGAGAGAGAGAGAAAGAGAGAGTCGG